TATTCTTTTTATATTTATACTTATTTTTATTAAGTGATTGAAAAAATTATAATTTCATATTCCTGAAAAGTTGGAATTATAGTTACTCATTAGTTATTGTATATGACTTGTATATGACTCTGCTCAAACTAGGACCATAACTGATTCTTGGTAAACTCGGCAAAACCCAGAAATTCTTTATTTAATATATATCCTAAGGATTAAGGAATGAGTTATATAGCACACAACATGCTTCCAGAGACTTGGTAAATTTTTTTTTCTTCCGAACCTTTCTTCCATGATATATACTATATATGAGTCAGTTCCAATGTACCAGAAAAACAGATCTCTTTAATCCTGTTGAATGCAAATAATTTAATTCTTCTTATATTAGGTTTGAGTTTTTTGTGCAATTGCTAAATTTTTAGTAAATAATGAATGTGATATTTTAAAACATTGATAATGGGTTGATTTTTTGTTTTTAAGGTTGGAAGATGTCTAAGAAAGTAACAATTGATTCCTTTTTCAAGAGAAAAGAGAGAAATAGCGATGACTGTGGCACACAATCTATTCTGGTAACACTAATTTCAAATCTCGAGTCTGTGCCTAATATAGAAAATTTTGTTCAACTTCAGCCAAATACAGTGCCTAATTTGGAACAACCTCCATCCAAAGTTTTGAAAATTGGACAAAACATTGATATTGCTTCCTTGGAACGTGATCCTGGCATACGTCCAAAAATTTCAAATTATCCTATCAATCAACAGGATGAAATTCGTAGGGCATACATACAATTTGGTCCCTATTGAAACAAATGGAAATCTTCGTCGATTTCAAGCTTATTGGTTGGAAAGATTTCCTTGGTTAGAATATTCACCTGCAAAGGATGCTGTCTTTTGCTTTCCTTGCTATTTGTTTGCAAAAAAACCAAGTGGGAAACAAGGAGGGGTTGAGACATTTACTTCAATCGGATTCAAAAAATGGAAACAAGTCAACAATGGGGATAAATGTAAATTTTTAGCTCACATGGGAAAGGATCCAAATTCAATTCACAATATTGCTGTTAAATGCCTTGAAGATTTTAAGAATCAGTCTTGTCATGTTGAAAAGGTGTTAGACAAACAAAGCTCACAACAAATTGAGAAGAACCGGTTGCGTCTCAAAACTTCTATTGATGTTGTTAGATGGTTAACTTTTCAAGTTTGTGCTTTCAGAGGGCATGATGAAAGCTTGGATTCAAAAAACCGTGGTAATTTTCTTGAGATGATCAATCTTTTGACTTCTTATAATAAGGAAGTGAATGAAGTTGTTTTAGAGAATGCCCCACAAAATGCAAAATATACATCTCCAACCATTCAAAAGGAGATTTTACAAGTTTTTGCTAGAAAGGTTTAAGCTGAAATTTGTAAAGAGATTGGTGATGCAAAATTTTGTTTAATTGTTGATGAAGCTCGTGATGAATCTAAAAGAAAACAAATGTCAATCGTTGTTAGATTTGTTGATAAAGATGGGTTTGTGAAGGAGCGTCTTCTAGATGTAGTACATGTCAGAGAGACAAATGCATTGACTCTTAAACAAGAGATTTGTTCTGTTTTATCCCATCACAATCTTAGCATTCAAAATGTTCGGGGTCAAGGGTATGATGGAGCTAGTAATATGCGTGGAGAATGGAATGGATTACAAGCTTTGATTCTTCAAGAATGTCCTTATGCTTATTATGTGCATTGCTTAGCTCATCAATTACAATTAGCTCTTATTGCTGTAGCTAGAGAAGCACCAAATGTTCATGCTTTTTTTCAGAATTTGACTTCTATAATTAACATTGCCAGTTCTTCTTGCAAGCGTCATGATGAGTTACAAGCTACATATGCACTTGAAATTGCTCATTTAGTTGAAATTAATGAGATTGAAACAGGAAGAGGAGCCAATCAGTTGGGCACTTTACAAAGACCAACAAACACAAGATGGAGTTCTCATTTTAAGTCAATATGTAGCCTTTTACGAATATTTACTCCAACTACCTCAGTTCTTGAAAATGTGGCTGTTGAAGGATCCACATACTCTCAACGAGGTGATGCTACTTTTGCTCTTAAGTCATTGCTATCATTTGACTTTGTCTTCATTTTACATTTGATGAAGGAAATCATGGGAATTACTAATAAACTTTGCCAAGCTTTGCAACAAAAAAATTAAGATATTTTAAATGCTATGGGTTTAGTATTTAGCACAAAATTTTTGCTTCAAGATCTAAGAAATAGTGGTTGGGATACTCTTTTACATGATGTGACTTCTTTTTGTGAGACTCATTCCATCCAAATTCCTGATATGAGTGCTTCTTTTTGTGACATAATTCGTTCTCGTCGAAAAAAGAATGATGTAACAGTTGAGCATCACTATCGAGTGGATATATTCACAAGTGTGTTAGATTATCAATTAAAAGAACTGAATTGTAGGTTCAATGAGCAAGCTATAGAACTTCTTACTTTGAGCTCAGCTTTGGATCCTCACAATGACTATAAATCATTCAGAATTGATGACATATACAAACTTGTGGAGAAGTACTATCCTTCAGATTTTTCAGATCAAGAAAAGATTTGTCTGAAATATGAGTTGCAACACTATAAGCTTGATGTACCTTCTCATCCAAGATTTCAGAATTTATCTACTATTTCTGAATTGTGTCAAGTGTTGGTGGAAACTAGAAAATCAGAAGATTATCCTCTCATTGATAGATTGATTCGACTTGTTTTAACTCTTCCTGTGTCAACAGCAACCACTGAACGAGCTTTTTCTGCTATGAAAATCATCAAAACAAGACTCCGCAACAAAATGGAAGATGACTTTCTCAAAGATTATATGATTGTTTACATTGAAAAGGAGATTGCAGAAAAATTTACTACAGACTCGATTATAGATGATTTCTACTTTATGAAACAACGAAGGGCACAACTTAAAAATTAAAAGTATATACTTTTTGCTATCTTTATTTACAATTTAAAGTCTAGCATCTTGCTCGGGTTTCCTTTTTGTTCCCTCAAATAATGCCTCTGCCATGCTTTATCAGCTTAGTTCGCTATAGATCCCCAAGAAAGCAAGAAGTAGCTGGAACTTCACAATCTCAATGGCTGCTTGGTCCATTTGGGTAAGCAGAAATGGTATTACTTTTGAAAAATAGCCTTTGAATGAAAATAAATTGATTGACTTAATTCAATCTAAAACTTTCTGCAGGATCAAAGGAAATTCTACTTATGCTAAGTTCAGTTTTATGGATTGGTATCAATTCCCACTTCACTAAGCAGTAAATTTTTAATTTCTTACTAAACTTTTGATGTAATGCATGGGTGACTACCTCTTGTATTCTCTTTATTAATAATACTTTTTTATTCATTAAAAAAAAAAAGTCTAGCATCTCGCCCCCCTGAACAAAATTTCTGGCTCCGCCCTTGATTTTAGCTGAGTTTAATAAAAATAAATAAAATAACATAACATGACAACGGATGAACTAGACAATATAAACTATTTGATGGCTATTCCTTCGTTTAATAATTCTTGTTTAACAGTCTACTGCAAGAAACTCTTATTAACATTGATATAGTTGTTACTCTCACTTGAGTGATTTTACAAATATAAGTAAATTGATAAAAATCAGACTTCACCCATAGCCAATTAGCCATAGATGATGCCATTGAAATTATTTGTAAGTGGTGATTTGAATCCATAGTCCCTGTATTGTTCGCATTATTTCTCACCATTCAACTAACTTGAGCGAGTTGGGAAAAATGAAATAAAAACCATTGGGCTGACAGTCAACATGTTGAATGGACATTTTATTAACTAAAACATAAGTTCTCACGAACATTAAATATGGCCGAAGGAGTGTCTTGTGAATTCTGAAGCTGCATCATTGAGTGTGTACATCAAGCTGAACCAAATAATGTTCCTTCATATGATTGTTTGAGTTGGAACCACGTATCACAGCATCAATTCCGTTCCACCGTCTCTGTTTAATAACAAGTTAAATTCCTCTCACCATAAAGTTGTTTCAATTAAAGAATCTAAAATACAGGTAAAAGTACTCGAAATTTCATACAAATAAGAACACAGCCTTCCAAAAGCAAAGGTCATATCCTTGATTAGAGCTTTTGATAGGTGACAACCTTGATTAGTAAAGAAGAGAGTCATATTCTTAATTGGAAAAGTCTTGAAAGGTTGTGTCCTTATTTGTATGAACTCTCAAAAGCAAACCATTAATATACAGACTTTTTGTGAAAGTTTCGGGTTAGTTAATCAAAATAGAACTTACTATTGGTGCTTTCCGTCACGAAACTGAGCATTCCTTGAAGACTTGAAAGTTTCCAAAAATTCTTTAGCTTTCTGCATCTCTTGCTTCTTCCTTGACTTGCCCCAGTTGTGCTCTGCAGCAAGTATTTCGACAACACGTGGCAACGAATGGCCAGCTGCGTCAGTGTCAAGGAAAGCAAGGCGACATCTCCTAGCAATGAAATCAACAGCAGACTCACAGTACTCATGCCGAGCACAGTATGCAACCTCAGCCTCCAGAAAAGGGTATCCATGAGCGAGTCTCTTCCCCAGATTTTCATTCTGAAAATTAAAAGGCAGGTTTTAAAGGTTAAAAAGCTAAAAGATAAAATTATTAACTGCATACTTGCAATATTAACCCCAAAATCACATTCTCAAGCAACTTCACATTTGGTCGAACACATCAAAGATCTAGAAAACCTAATGTCTAACACCACATACTTCTGAGATCAGTCCTGATTATCTTCTTCCTTTTAAAAAAATGAAGAAAAACTATGTCATGCTGAACCACATCAGAAGGCTAGACCAGTTTACAGTTTCTTAACATTTAAATGAATTATTAAGGTCCTGCATGAGAAATTACTGGTAAAAAAATCCAGGTAAATCCCTGAAATTCTATCTCTTTCACAGCCAATGTGCAATGTACAATTGAGCAGAATCATGTACTCCAACTGCAGTAGTTACTACACACAACAGCTATTAAAGCATAACGAACCAACCTGCGCTATGGTGGCCACCCGCTCTGCCAGTGTACCATATGCATGAGATAAATGCTTTGCCACAGCTGTGTCCATTACCCCAGGAACAATTTTACCAGTGTGAGACTTCTTCAAGCGCACATACTGCTGGGCAAGAACAGTAAAAGATGAAGGTTTCCATCCATCTCCACCAATAAGGTGCAGGTTTTGAGTTAAACACCCACTGCCTGGGGTTAGTTTACCAGACTTGATCGCAGCATCAACTGCATCTTCCGCCATGCTGAAACTAGTTCTAGTAAGCAAAAATGCAAGCTCAAAAGAAAAATGGGCCAGATGGAAAGGCCTAGGAAGTTCTAGCTGGGAGCTCCCTAAGCTTTAGAAGCAGGGGGGTCTACATACCCTATAGCTCCAGATTTCATAGTCTAACAAATGGACCAGAAGAAAGAGGTTTTCACTTTGAAATTTGTTTGGTAAGATGGACTTGCTGCTTTTAAGCCATCATTACTAGAATTACCAATACCGTTAAACACTTCTATCTAAAAAACCCCCTCAATAACTGGTAATTCAACTGTAAAAGTTCAGCTCGAACAAATAGTAATACCTTCGATAGGTTGTCCACTTTCCACCAGTGATTGTGACCAAACCAGGATAATCCTCAGATACAACATGATCTCTAGAGATGCTCTCTGTGTTCTTTGCTTTAGGATCCACAGCCAATGGACGAATACCACTCCAAGCAGAAAGAACATCTGTACGTCGTACCTGAATTTTCTCACCATCATATCAGCTTGCCGTAGAATTCTGAATTAGAGATAAATAAGAAAGAGAAAGCTAACTGACTGAGTCTACTTTTATGGGATGCTTTCAAATAATCATAAATATACAGCTATTCAACATCAACAAAATAAAAGATTTTGGGATTGTAAAACTTAAAGTACACATGTAGAATAAGTGTGAAGAAGAAGCTCTTTGAAACAATTCTCTACCTTGACATTAAGATAATCAGAAATGGCATCAAGTATAAACTGAATTTCATCCTCATGTGGCTCTGGAAGCGAAGTGATGGCAGTGTTAGAATCTGTAGTGCCAGCTAGAGTTCTCCCCAACCATGGGAGCATGAAAACAACACGCCCATCCTTAGTTTTAGGAACAATCAAACCCATTCCTTCTGGGGAATAGTAGTCAGGGAGAACTATATGCACACCGCTGCTAGGACATATCATTGGTTGTGCATCTTTATTAGCCATTTTCCTTACAGAGTC